GGAGCTCGACCGCGACCGGGCCACTGCGGGCACGCGGAGGCGGGAGCGGGAGCACGCACGGGCGGCCAATCAGGGACGGAGAAAATCGGACGGGGGCGCGTCGGACCACGCACTATGTATAACTTGGATAGTTTAACCCTAACCCTATAACCTTCAACGGGCATGTCCAGCGGGTTTGACTTTTAAATGGTTTCATCCCACTGGTTTGGGTCCAACGGGTTAACGGGTTCGTTCAACGGGTTCGACCCCTGAACACCCCTCACTCTAACCCTGACTCTGACCACCTCATCCTCCCCCCCAGCCTCTACCCTCACTCTTTGTAACCCTAACCCTGGCCCATTATTGTATGGGATAATGCTCTTTAAAACTCCCATATTTTTGAAACCCCCCCTCTACCTTCTGATATAATCGTCCAGCGTGCTCGACTTCCAACGGGTTGATGGGTTCATCCAACGGGTTCGGGTCCAATGGGTGAATGGGCTCCTTGGACGGGTTTGACATCCAACGGGTTTGGGTCCAGCGTGTTCGACTAATGTTTGTTTTTCTGTGTTTAAAATCACTCCAGAATGAAGCCTTTCGGTTTTTTTATATATTTTGCTATTTTAATTTACTTTGTTGATCTTGCACCGCTTTGCACCGCTCCGTTGCCTGGGTGAAAATATAGATATTTAGTTGGGTCTGGTTGGGTTGATGGCTTACCCCATCAAACATCGCACCTCAACTCATTGACTTTGACACTAAAATTTAACCCCTTCCCGGCGGAATTATCGCTTTTGATTTGGATATGTTGTATTTCATATCCACTCCGGCCTACATGCAAAGTTTGAAGTCAATTGACTCCGTAGTTGATTAGACGTTCAACGTCTGAAACCAAATGGAATGTACGTCCAATCTGCCCTGCTCTGATTGGTCGGTTTTCTAACCCTGAATGGAATGGACGTCCATTCCACCCCCACCTGTTGGATAGAATTGCATCCTTGATTGACAACGTAATTTCTATTCCACTGACCTGCAACTTAAATAGCATTGAATATGTTTGGTAGAGAGCCAGCATGCATGATTTCATGCACATCTAACCACTCCTTGCGCTGACCGGGACTTTGGGACGATAATACTGTAACGGGTTAGCGCGGCTGTAGAAAATATACGCTAACCTAATACGGTATTATCGTCCCATAGAACCCTCCATTGTTTAAACCACAATATCTCCACCACTACATGGACTATGGGAATATGGAATATATCAGTTTAATGCCCAGAGGCTGCTCTATCACCTCATACTAAAATATGTAGATGTTTCTATATCTGTGGTGTTGGTCTTAGCCTGTCAATGTGGTACTAGATTGCAAATATCAGTACAATGTTCTGTGGTGATGCTTGGGAGACGTATTCCTGCAGAGTGGTATGTATCTCATCATCGTCCATAACGCGCAGTATCCTTTGGATGGTGGGGTTCGTGCAGACCTCACGCATCTCAACGGCGGGGCGAAGGTCGCAACCCAGACGGCTAAGCACCTGGTCACTCATCTCTCGTGGAAGCGTCCCAGTCATTAAGAGCAATGGCACCGCAACTGAGCCCACCCATTTTAATCTGTTGAAACTTGGCCGATAGTTACCATCAGTTACTACACAGTGCACTTCGTCAACCACCAAGCGCGGTAGCTGCTTTTCCTCGCAGAGTCTTTGGACCATCACTTGAAATTGGGGGTGCATTGCTAGCTCTGGAGTCACAAATACGATATGTGGGGCACGAGACATCGCTGGGTGCCATGCATCGGCCTGGACCCCAGCTTGACTGCATCGGGATATCATGTCTGATTGGAGGGATATGAACGGTGTAATCACAATTGTAGTCATCGTTGGGGCCAGCATTGCAGGGATGATGAAGATGAGGGTCTTTCCTGATCCCGGTGGAGATATCACCATCAAATTATCAACCTTATTGATGCACTCAATTGTTGCATCTCGCTGGGTCGAGTTGCGCCATTCAGCATCTGGTTTTTGTAGGACCAGCCTCAGCTTCTCAAGAGCTCTGGTCTCCGTGGTACATACCCTTTTATTCGGGTTGCTTGGTTCACCGGCTTGGCCTAGTATGCGCTTGTTCTGTGATTGGGTAGCGGGAGGAATAGTGGGAATCTGATTAGCTCTCATACTTGATGGAGTGGGTTGCTGTAATTGAGGGATTGTTGCATGCTGGCGGCTAGATGGGGTCTGGTTAGAAGGGTGTTCGTTTCTGGCGATCGCCATAGTTATCGGGGCGGCTGGAGTCGTAACGGGAATCGGGCTAGCTCTGGGGCTTGATGGTGTGGGGTGTTGCAATGGGGGCATTATTGCACCTTGGCCGTGGCTAAGGTTCTGACCTGGCAGGGCTGACTTTTTGGCGGGCGCCATAATCATTGGGGAGGGTGCAGTAGGGGGGGAAATTGTGGCGGTCGCCAAAAACGGGTGGGTTGCATCTCCTTGGTCGGTTATGCCCAGGATTGTATGCCATTTCTTAGATACCCTATAAAATGCTCGTAGTGTTTCGTCCGTCGTGCCAGTGATCATTTCAGCAGTCAGGGCATAGTGGCGAGAGTCAGTCTCTTCGGAATGCCCGGTTTGAAGGATATGCGCGATATCTGGTATCTCCTTCTCATCCTCCTCTGTCTGGATCCGCTCTCGATAGAGAGCCACCGCGACGTGCCGCCACTTTGCAATCTTAACCCGAACGCCCAGACTCTGCTCGGTTGCCAACCCCATCTGGGCCGAGACGGTGGCTGGGGTGATTGGTGCCGCCTCAGGGCATGTGAAGAAGAGGGGATTCGTCAGATGTGCCATATTTGTACTCTCAGATTGTAATGCAGAGTATCTGCCGATAAACGGCCGCAGCTCCGACAAGTAGCATAAAACTACTTGTCCAACTGACGAAGGAAGATATCGAGCAACAACCGTTGGCTTCCCCTTGATGCTATCCGTCTTGTTGTATTCAGACAATATAACCATAGAATCAAAATGCAACAATACATTTCTAAGGGTGCTGGCGTCATTGGCATGTTTTGTCGATATCAATTCTGGCCCTCGCATCGGCAGGCCGCCAGTGTATACAAGGAGAACCGCTAGATTGCTGAGGAATTTCTGTACGCGGCGGCATAGTGTGGTAAACTCGCGCTGTTTCTTGGGATCAATCTGCACCTTTCCATTGCGGATGGCCACAAACGAGTTGGGCATTGATATCAATCTATTGGTATAACGCCATATCCCATCCAAGAAATTGGGATCAACGTCCGGAGCACGCGGGACAGCAGTACTGATAATTGAGACTCCTCTATGCTGCACGTTCCAATTGTCACAGAATTTGTTGGGGGAGAACTGCTCAAGGTAGTTCTCATCCACGCCAAGAATTGTGCACAGCTCGGTGCGATTGGAGGAAATTAGGCGGCGGATATAGTCATATAGCTGGGTTAGGTGGATTTCAGTACTGTCGATGGTGAGGATCGTTCTTGTCTGGTTCCATCGGACCGTCTCTCGTTGATAAAAATCTCGACAAATCGTTTTGCCCATTAATCGGAGATTAAACGCCTCGGAAAAATAAACTTGCTTCCCATCATGGAGATATTTGGCAGAATCAACTAACAGACGTTCGTGTACATCCTCCGGAGACTCATTAATCAGTACTGTAAAGAGTGTAAACATGCGGAAGGCATAAATGATTGCACTCAATAGGGGCGTCGTATGGTCAGGGGCTGCCCATCGATTGGAGCGAGTCCATGAGGTACTGGCAATGAAAAAGCCTACCACGGTCTTGGTTGGGATCTCCATGGGTTGGCGGATGAGACTTGTGGAGCACTGGAGTATGATTGGCATGCCATGTTCTAGATGATCTTCTGTGAGTTGGTCGGGGAGCTGACGTAAAAAAACGTCAAGAGCATTAAATGCTTTAATCAAATCCTCAGATAAGGAGGGCACCCATCCATCAATCGCAGATGTGTCACAGCTTTGAATTCTCAGCGCCACTAAGAAAACTTTCCTCCATGTCAGTGCATAGTTTTTTATTGAGCAGGGGCCTAAGGGTGACAGCGGTTTTGGGCTGGGCTCGGGTCCAATTGATGCTGTTAGGCGAAGCAAGACATGATTTGTTGCCTGGCAGCGGTCATGGGCTCTCCTGAAGGTATATGCCATCAACTTCTGCAAATGTCCCCATTGGGGGCAATCATCGGCATTACTCGAGAATGATAGTCGTGATATTGTTGACATATCTGCACCTGCATATGTCTGCGGGAAGCGTGTGCGTTTGTCCCATACCGTAAGGTGCGTTGGCTCTGTTGGTGCAATCGCGTATAAACGAGAGCATTCGTGTAGCAGCATTGCGTATTCGGCCTTGAGTTCGGATAGGGGGTCGTCTTCGTGTGGATTACTAGGACTGCTTGCCGGGGACGGTGGAGATACCGGGTAGTAATGTTTGTATGATGTGAAAAGGGTTGAAACAAGAACATCAGTCTGGTACTTTGGTTGGTTGACAGGCCATGGTTCATTTTTGTGTACCTGCGACAAATGCTTGTAGATAGTACCAGTTGTTATGCAATGGTACTTGCACCCAGTGAAGTTGCAGGCAATGCCCTCATGGACTTTTATATTTGATGAGTAGCCGTGCTCAGCCGCGGCAAGAATCTCAGCGTGGTCTGCTGGCCCAATTGGGTTATATGCTTGGAACTCCTTTTTGATTGAATCAATTGTAATGTCAGGGTATCTGTGTTCCTCCTTTAGGTGTTTGCTGAGTGATGCCATCGAGACACCATGTTGGCAATCCTTGCAGATGACAGCAAGCCGAATGGGATCAAAAATGATCGGATGGGGTTTTGTCACTAGAAAGTAGTTAGAGGATTAATTAAGCTATTCATATCAGTTGCATTAGTTCCAAGAATAAGCTTGTGGACTCCAAGAAAGTAATAATTGTAATTGTTCTAACTGAGTCCAAAATTATATACATGATTTGTTGGTGTACACAATAGCTAGGGTTGATGTTAGAATAAGCTTTTTGATGAACATGAAACGGCTGAGTTTTTGGCGGCCGCTAAAAAATTGGTAACGCTGATTGGTTTTCGGCGCTCGCCAAAAAGCGTCAAGGAGGATGATGCATAATAAGCTTGTATAGCACATCTTAGTATGTATATTAAGTAATACTATTTATGGTAGATTGACATACCTTGAGGTATAGCAAGATGACATTAATACTATGCATATATGGGAATTTTAAAGGCTACCAAAATCACAAGCTTCCAAAAGATATAGGTGATAAGATAAGAATGCTTACTAGACATATTGGATGCCATTGCTAGAAGCTGAGAATTATGTGAGGTTTATGAGTAAGAGAAGAATTGGTAAGGTATATTAAAATCTGCAAGGTGTAGTAAAACTAACAAGGAAATTAAGCTGTTAAGGTTTGAAATAAAGTAAGCAGTATCTGCATGAATTGAGGGTAACCTGCTACAGAAAATGAAGTTTAAGAGGTAGCAGCATTCTTATACTTAATAAAATTATTCACTAAGATCACCAAGATCACCAAGATCACCAAGATCACCAAGATCATTAAGATCACCAAGATCATTAAGATCACCAAGATCATTAAGATCACCAAGATCACCAAGATCATCAAGATCACCAAGATCACCAAGATCACTAAGATCACTACGGTATTAAATAATATATGTGGTATGCCTTATTAGCAGTAGTTACCTATAGAAAAAGGCAAGTAGGCATAAATTTTAACGACCGCCAAAATCTGGCACCCTCCACTCAGGTCATACAAGTAGACTGTTTTTGACGACCGCCAAAAAATGAACCCCTTCTATGTAAATTAATGGTACACCATAGAATTAGCTTCTAGCTAACGTAATCGATAAGCGAGCGAGCCACATAAGCAAGCGAGCCACTTCCCACCTGCCATACAACAAGAATGCTTTTCAACAAAAATGTCAACCACTCAAAGAAATAAAGTCTCTGCTCAAGAAGGAAGGCTTCTTTTAGCCATTCAAGCACTTAAAAATGATCAAATTTCAAGCATACGAGCTGCAGCAAAGCTGTATGATGTCCCTCGCTCAACCCTCACTCACCGTGTCTCTGGTCGTACAGCACGCGTGGACATTCCCCCAAAGAACCGAAAACTTAGCCTTACAGAAGAAGAATCACTTGTTCAATGGATTCTAGCCATGGATGAGCGAGGTCAGCCACCCCGGGTTGCAGCTGTACGAGAAATGGCCAATCTCCTTCTTGCCAGTCGAGGAATCAACCCCTCACCCACAGTGGGTGAATGCTGGGTACGAAACTTTGTCAATCGCTATGAAGAGCTGAAATCCAAGTTCTCCCGCAAGTACGACCATCAACGTGCACTATGTGAAGATCCTGAGGTTATCCGTGGGTGGTTTAAGCTTGTACAAAACACCATTGCAAAGTATGGGATTCTGGAAGAGGATATCTACAACTTTGATGAGACAGGCTTTCAGATGGGGGTTATTGGGACTGTCAGAGTGGTGACTGGATCTGAAAGAGCTAGGAATCCCAAGCTTGTACAGCCTGGAGATCGGGAATGGGTGACTGTTATTGCTGGGGTCAATGCAATGGGCTGGGCTCTCCGTACAATGATTATCCTCAAGGGAAAGATGCATCAGTCCTCTTGGTATGAGACTGAAGGGCTGCCGCATGACTGGGTGATTGGAGTCAGTGAGAATGGCTGGACCACTGACCAGCTGGGCTTGTACTGGCTGAAAGAGGTGTTCAACAAGGAGACTCTACCCCGTACAAAGGGCAGATACCGACTGCTGATTCTAGACTGGCACTGAAGCCATGCCTCAGCTGAATTTGATCAATTCTGCTCTGAGAATCAGATTATTGCTCTCTACATGCCACCACATTCCTCTCATCTTCTTCAGCCACTGGATGTTGGGTGCTTCTCCCCCTTGAAGACTGCATATGGACGACAGGTGGAGAATCAGATGCGGCTTGGGATCAATCATATTGACAAGGAGGAGTTTCTGGCCCTATATCCTGCAGCTCAGATGCAGGCTCTGACTGAGAACAACATCAAGAGCAGTTTCAGGGCAGCTGGGCTGGTTCCATACAATCCTGAGCAGGTTCTCTCGCGCCTTAATACCACAATGCATACCCCCACCCCACCTGGGACCTCTCATAGCTCTCAGGCCTCCTGGGCCACTGCTACACCACATAATATACACCAGCTAGAGCAGCAGACTAAGAAAGTTAAAGGATATATTAAGCACCGTACGCAGAGCCCACCCAGCCCAACTGATCGTGCCCTAAATCAGCTGGTCAAGGGATGTCAAATGGCAATGCATAGTGCTGCTATTCTAGCAGCTGAAAATAGGGAGTTAAGGGCTACAAATGCTAAACAAAAGAGAAAGAGGCCGTACATATGTAGCCCAAGAGGGAGCTTTGGGGGTGGAAGAAGGCTTGGATCGCGTACGAAGCATCAATGAATGGGAAAGAGGGGTGGTTGAGGCTGCTGAGTCCCAACCACGAAGACGTGCAGCACCACAGTGTAGTGTATGTGGGATTATTGGGCATACTGCCCGTACATGCTCTAAACGTACAGGAAATAATTGATAATATCAGTTTGTTAATTTTGGGTTGTATTCAGGACTTGAAGAGCATTCTTGTTGTATGGCAGGTGGGAAGTGGCTCGCTTGCTTATGTGGCTCGCTCGCTTATCGATTACGTTAAATATAAAATATTATGTAAGAAAAGCCAGGTAAGATTATATAATACTGTTCTATTAACGTAATCAATAACCTTCCCGATCAAATACCCTTCCCGATCACTTCTTCACTTTAAGACACATCATACAATTTATTCATCAAAATGTCAACAACAAGTGACAGAAGAAACTTCTATCAAGAAGGCAGGATTCTATTAGCTATTAAGGCTCTAGATAAAGGTCAAATCTCAGGTATTCGAGCTGCTGCACGCGCGTACGAAGTTCCTTATTCAAGTTTATATGATCGATTACACGGCCGCACAACACGAAAAGATTCTCAGTTAAAAAACCGAAAACTCAGTCTTACAGAGGAAGCATCTCTTATTCAGTGGATTCTATCCATGACTGAGCGAGGCCAGTCACCCCGCATCACAACCGTACGAAATATGGCCAATTTGCTTCTTTCTGAACGAGAAATCAAGTCTGAATCCAAACCCCCTCCAACAGTGGGTGAATGCTGGGTACGAAACTTTTTTAATCGTCATGAGGAGTTAAAATCAACATTCTCTCGAAAGTATGATCACCAGCGAGCTCTATGTGAGAATCCTGAGATTATTCGTGGATGGTTTAATCTCGTACGAAACACCATTGCAAAGTATGGGATTGCACAGGAAGATACATACAACTTTGATGAGACTGGATTTCAGATGGGAGTTATTGGGACAGCCAGAGTAATTACTGGATCTGAGAGAGTTGATCGTCCGAATCTTATACAGCCTGGAGATCGGGAATGGGCCACTGTTATTGCAGGAGTTAATGCAACTGGTTGGGCTTTACGTACGATGATTATTCTAAAGGGAAAGATGCACCAATCCCATTGGTATGAGACTGAGAAGCTGCCACATGACTGGGTGATTGGAGTCAGTGAGAATGGATGGACAAATGATAAGCTGGGGTTGATCTGGCTTAAGGAGATATTTGACAAGGACACTCGATCTCGTACGAAGGGCAAATATCGACTCTTGATCCTTGATGGACATGGAAGTCATGCTTCAGCAGAGTTTGATCAATTCTGCTCTGAGAATGACATCATTGCTCTCTACATGCCATCTCATTCATCTCATCTTCTTCAGCCCTTGGATGTTAGCTGTTTCTCTCCTCTAAAGAAGGCATACAGACGACAGGTGGAGAAGCAAATGCAGCTTGGCATCAATCACATTGATAAGGAAGAGTTTTTGACTCTCTATCCAGCAGCTCATATGGAAGCCCTGAATGAGAACAACATCAAAAGTGGTTTTAAAGCTACAGGGTTAGTTCCGTACGATCCAGAGCAGGTTCTCTCACGCCTTAATACCCAGATGCATACACCCACCCCCCCAGGAACTTCTCATAGTTCTCAAGCCTCCTGGGCCACAGCCACACCACACAATGTACGACAAGTGGATCTCCAGGCCAAGAAGATTAAAGGATACATGCAACATCGTACACAGGGTTCATCCAGTCCAACCAATCGAGCTATGAATCAGCTGATCAAGGGGTGTCAAATGGCTATGTGTAGTGCTGCTATTTTAGCAAAGGAAAACAAGGAACTAAGAGCTGCAAATGAGAAGCAAAAGAGAAAGCGAGGGAAAGGTCGTACATATATAGCTCAGAAAGGGGTTTTAAGAGTTGAAGAAGGAATAGATCGCGTACGAAGTGTCAATGAACAGGAAAATGAGAAGGTTGAGGTTTTTCTGACTCTCAACCACGAAAACGAGCAGCACCACGGTGCAGTACATGTGGTACTATTGGACATACTGCTCGTACGTGTGAAAGCTGATTTGTAAATGATTCTTAATATGATTAATCTATTTTTCTTATGTGATTGTTGTTCTATTTAGTTATAAACATGAAAAGAGTGAAGAAGTGATCGGGAAGGGTATTTGATCGGGAAGGTTATTGATTACGTTAAGAAAAGTCGGGTCAGATTACATAATCTTACCTGGCTTTTATCACGTGATCTTACTTGGGTTTTAAAACCTGCCAAGCCCAGCCAAGCCCTGCCAAGTCTTGCCAAGTTCTCACCAAAAAAGCCAATTCCAGGTCAAACTAAAAGCCAATTCCTCAAGTAAATGGGGGTAACCCTAACCCTGAAAACCTGGGGTTTCCGTTTCCGTTTCCACTGCCGTTTCCGTTTCCGTGACCGTTTCCGTGACGTATTTCCCGTGACGCTGACCCCTATATCCAACGCGATATTCAACGGGCGTGCCCCAACCGGTATATACGATCCTCTCCATCATAACCCTAACCCTGAAAACCTGGGGTTTCCGGTTCCGTTTCCGGTTCCGTTTCCGTTTCCGTGACGTATTTCCCGGACGCAAACCCCTATATCCAACGCGATCGATCATATTCTGTTTAACTCTAACCCTAACCCCTGGGGTTGTAACCCTGGGGTTTCCGTTTCTGCTTCCGTTTCCGCTTCCGTTTCCGTGACGTATTTCCCGTGACGCTGACCCCTATATCCAACGCGATATTCAACGGGCGTGCCCCAACCGGTATATACGATCCTCTCCATCATATTCTGCTTAACCCTAACCCTATAACCTTCAACCGGCATGTCCAACGGGTTTGACTTTTAAATGCTTTCATCCCACTGGTTTGGGTCCAACGGGTTAACGCGTTCGTTCAACCGCTTCGACTTCCAATCGTTTCAACGTCCAATGCGTTAATGGGTTCGTCCAACCGCTTTGACTTCCAACTGCTTTGATGTTCAACGCCTTCAAACATCCAACGGGTTAATGCGTTCATCCAACCGCTTTGGGTCTGACGGGTTCGGGTCCAATGCGTTCAACTTCCAATGCGTTACCCTGACCTTGACCTCCCTGAACACCCCTCACTCTAACCCTGACTCTGACCACCTCATCCTGCCCCCCAGCCTCTACTCTCACTCTTTGTAACCCTAACCCTGGCCCATTATTGTATGGGATAATGCTCTTTAAAACTCCAATATTTTTGGACCCTGATCTAGCTATATTATATCTCTTTACCCTCTTTCTTTTTGCTCCTTTTCCTCTTGCTTCATCGATCTTTATATATGCATATATCTTTTATCTCTATGTGGTGCTCGTCAACATCTGCCTCTCACCTGTGATGTCATTTGACCTCTATGCCCCTGACTCGATCTTCCCCCCCTCTACCTTCTGATATAATCGTCCAGCGTGTTCGACGTCCAACGGGTTGATGGGTTCATCCAACGGGTTCGGGTCCAATGGGTTAATGCGCTCCTTGGACGGGTTCGACGTCCAACGGGTTTGGGTCCAGCGTGTTTGACGTCCAACGGGTTTGACGTCCAACGGGTTGGGTCCAGCGTGTTCGACTTCCTCATCCAACCGGTTCGACGTCCAACGGGTTGATGGGTTCATCCAACGGGTTCGGGTCCAATGGGTTAATGCGCTCCTTGGACGGGTTCGACATCCAACGGGTTTGGGTCCAGCGTGTTCGACTTCCTCATCCAACGGGTTTGACGTCCAACGGGTTGATGGGTTCATCCAACGGGTTCGGGTCCAATGGGTTAATGCGCTCCTTGGACGGGTTCGACGTCCAACGGGTTAATGCGCTCCTGGGACGGGTTTGACGTCCAACGGGTTTGGGTCCAGCGTGTTCGACTTCCTCATCCAACCGGTTCGACGTCCAACGGGTTGATGGGTTCATCCAACGGGTTCGGGTCCAATGGGTTAATGCGCTCTTTGGACGGGTTCGACATCCAACGGGTTTGGGTCCAGCGTGTTCCACTCCCAACGGGTTATTGCGCTCCTGGGACGGGTTTGACGTCCAACGGGTTGGGGTCCAGCGTGTTCGACTTCCTCATCCAACGGTTTCGACGTCCAACGGGTTGGATGGGGTTCATCCATCGGGTTCCGGTCCCAACGGGGTTAAATGCGCTCCTGGGGACGGGTTTG